AGTGGGGGCAGTGGGGGGTGGACACTGCTCACTCAGCAGAAAGTCTGTTTGCACAACAATTAAAACATTGACTTACTGTATGCAGTAAGTACTTGATGATATTTGCTTTGTGTACTTCTGAATATACCAATATAATGGGACGCCATTGGTAAATCCTCAAATATGTACTTTATTAATTAGAATGTGTTTATACAGTAAACATACACTGTAAATCCAAACCCAAATGTAAATATATGACTTTTAGAAAAATAGTTTGTCGTGTTTAAAAAAATGATTTGATAGTTATTTAATTTTTTTTTGGTTATTTCAGATTTTTTAATTTTTGTATTTTTATGTTGTTTTTATTTATATTATTTTATTTTATATTTTTAATATTTATTCATTTTTTATTATCCTTTATCCTTAAAATAAGAAAACATTTTCTTTGTGTATATGTGTATATTTATATTGTGTTTTATGTATATTTGTAAAATCATATCCAATCAATTAATAAAATTACAGTTTTGAAATAGTCAATTTGAGATTGGAGTTGATTTCGACCAATAGAAATGGTGATTTTTTTTTCTTTCTTCACAGGTGGTGTATCTGAAAGGCACTGTAGGAGGATTGGAGTCGTCACTGGACAGTGTACGAGAGGAGCTAGAGGGGGCCATCGGCAGAATGAAGGTGGGCGAGGTGGAGACCAGGAGGGTGGAGGAGGCCCTCCAGAACCTCCAGAACGATCTTCTCAGGGACCTGTCAGAGGGCATCAAAGAAGTCAAGGAGGCTCGTGAGAAAGACTTCTCCTCTCTGGAGAGGACAGTGGAGGAGCGCCTGGCCGAGGTGAGTCAGTCCATCAAGGCCAACATAGCGGAGTTCACCGAGTCTCAGGGCGCGGCTCAGAGCCAGCTGGCTGAACTCAAAGCCCGGCTGGGCAACATCGAAGACCCCGCACTCATCAAACAGGAGCTCTCTGCCATCGTTGAAGTCGTAGCTGAACTCAAATCAGACAAAGCGGTGGCTGACACTACCGCCGGTTCACTCATGGAGCAGATCGGTTCGGTGAGGGAAGAGATCCAGACCCGCAACCTGGAGGTAACCTCGCTGTCCGAAGAGGTGGAAGCGATGAGGACCACGGTGCAGGAGACCATCGGGAGTCTGAAGAAGGCACTCTCTGAGACGGAGGGTGAAGTTCAGGCTTTGAAGGACAAAACAGCGTCAATGGAGAGAGGCGTGGAGCAGGCCGCTGAGGGCGTTCGTAATATGGAGAAGCAGGTGAGCGAGGCGGCTGCTCAGGTCTTGACGAGGTCAGAGGATCTGGAAGTTCGAGTTAAAGCATCAGAGGACAGCGGAGATAACCTGTCAGCGTCCGTGTCAGACATGACCTCCAAGGTAGAATCACTGCTGGCCAAGTTCGACAGCTACGAGAGCACCCTGGTCTCTCAGTCCCAGGCTGTGGAGAAGGTCAAAAGTGACCTGGGGCAGGAGCTGGAGGCTCACAGAAGCTACCTGCAGCAGCTCCAGTCCACTCTGGGTGAGGTTCAGAACGAGCTGGTGTTCAGCTCCAGTCTGGATGAACAGGTTCAGGATGTGAAAAAGAGGCTGGAGGCCCTGGAGGCCAGCAGCAGCAGCAGCAGCAGCAGCAGGCAAGAACAGCTGGAGAACTTACGGAGCGTGGTGGACATGCTGGAGACCAAAGCAGCCAGGCTGGAAGGACACGATGAGGCCATCGCTGCTCTTCAGAAGGCCCTCCAGGAGACCACAGACACTCTGGCTGGACTGTCTGGACAGGTCTACGAGGAGGTTTGACTTGAAGAACAGAACCATCCAAAAAACACAGGGACAAACTGATCTCAGGATCTTTTATAAGGTTATGAAGATTACTGTCAGAGCTTGACACGTGCACACCTTGGTCAAAGAGATAAACGGGATTAGACTGGGTTATAGAGTGGAGCAGAGTTGAACTGCTGATCTGTGAAATCCACAACCATACTGCACTGTAGTTTCTTTTCTAATATTTTTCTTTTCTTAAGAAAACTGTTTGTTTTTTTTAAATCCACGGTTACTTTTTAAATAAAGACCTTTTGTCCACCTACAGCTCTCAGATGTAACTCTTTAATGTGTTTTTTGGGACTGAATGAACACTGATGAACACACATGGAGTTAACGCCACACTTCCCACCACTTTATATCTGTTACTCTGTTTTTAAGCTGGAACGTCATAAGAATAACAACACACGTCTTCTCTCGTCTCTGTGGAGGTTGATGTTGTGCAGAGGTAACACCTGCTTCTTCTGCCACACCTGAGGCGTCGGCCTCCGGCACCAACAACACTTCAAAGTCGCCTGCTTCGCTGCAGGGCGTTTAGAAAACTACTTAAGGTCTGGCACAAATCCCAGCAGAGGCAAAATAAAACACACAGGGAGTGTCTGAGTGTGATTAGTTTGAGGAGCTCTTGGTCAGGTGACATATTAATATGACAAAGTCATTAAAGAAGCATAACCCTAACCCAAGTGTTGCACATTTAACCTGAGACTTATGGCCACCACATGGAGGAAAGTCATTTAAAAAAAGACGTATTGTAAAATAGCTTTTATGAATAGCTGTGTTTATTGCTGTATTTTTGGCTAAGCTTAAGGTATTTTCTGGCTAACCTTTAGCTTAATGCTTAGCATTTAGCTATTTTTCACCAATCTTTGGCTTTTGTTTTACTTTGTTTTTTTTAAATTTAATAATCTCTTCCTTAGTAAACTTTAATTTTTTTTAGCTGAACTTTTAGCAAGTTCTTGTTATCATTTCATTATAGAGGTAGGTGGTATATCTTTAAAATGACAAAAAAAAAACATTACCTTGCATAGTTTGTCTCAATTAATTATTATTTATTATTTAGTGTCTTAATTAAACATTGGGGAGGCTAATTGTCTTGATAATCACGATGCTGGTAAGGACTAAAACAACATGCCATATTTTGTGATGAATTTTTGTAAAGAATGTTTAGGATAACATATTAAAGTGAAATATTTAAAACACTTAAAGATAATTGAAGAAAGGAGAGGTGGAGACAAACAGGGACAAAAAAACCTAACTGACCTTTAAACATTACCACCACAGACCTGCTGCCACATTGTTCTCATTTTATTCCTTATAAGGCTCTATGATCTGGTCCTGTCTGCAGATTTACATTTAAAGGCTGTGCAAAGTTCAGCTTTAAAAAAAAAAGTTCATATTTATTTCTGTAAACATCTTGACAGTAGTGCGACACTTACGTTTCAAATAAAGTGAGTCGTCCACAGTTCCTCACATTGGCCGGTGCATGTCTCCGATATCAGAAATATCAGCCATTTCACTGACCTGTTTAGATGTAACACTTAACTCTCCCTCTACTGCGGTCAGGTTGGATAAAGTCTGTCTGAGCTCGGCGATATCCTGCTCTCTCTTGGTCAGGTCTTCTGCCAGTCTTCCGATTCTCAACGTCAGATCGGAGAGGAGGGGCTCAAAGGCAGCGAAGTCTCTCTTGATCAATGCAACTTTAGGTTTGAGGTCACTGGCGAAGGTCACCGTCCGTATCAGACGAGCTCTGCCGCTCTCTAGCTCCCTCAGTTGTTCAGAGATCTTCTGATCGGCTGTGGTCAGCTGGGGGATCTGCCTGCGCAGCTGATCGATGGCCTGCGTGTTGCGTTCGGCCACCGATCTGAGGTTGGAGACTCGGTCGATGCTGCTGGCCAGCACGTCCCCGATGCGCCTGACCATGCTGCGCTCCACCTGGCCGGTCTGGTCCTCAAGCTCTCCGACGTGGCTGAGCAGAGAATCCAGCTCGGAACGCAGGCCGTCCATTCTGCGCACGTCTGTCCTCACTGATGCCACCTGGTGGGGAGTTGCAGTCAATCAAATGTCATCCACATATACAAATGTAGGTTCATGAACACTAAGAATTAGTGTCATTTTTTTTTTTTTAATTCAACCCAGGTCACTACAATCAACTTTGACCTCATGGTCCTACAGTGTGAATGTAGACCTGGACAAACCTTGTTGGCCAAGTCCTTAGTGATGGCTGAGGTGCGTTCTTGGATTTGTCCCACAGCCTCTCGCAGTGCACTCATGCTGCTCTGCAGCTGGGCTCGTTTTTCACTGTGCCCAGATGCCCACTCCTTTAGCCCCTCCACATCCTGCTCCAGCTCTCGGAGTGGAGGCTGCACCAACCCCTGCTGATCCCCCAGACTCTCCAACATAGGCTGGATGCTCTCACACTGCAACACGGCAGAGAGACGGTACAGTAAGCTGCAGGCAGCAATTAACAAACAAAAAATACAATAATACACACTGAACGTGAAGAAAACTAATCTGTGAATTTGTAACATAAATACATAAATTACTGTTTAATAATTATTACAACACATTTTCAAATTTAAATCAGTGAAAACTGTAGATGCTACATGTTAGCATTTCCTTCTTTTCTTCCCCATTTTCACCCAAAACGTGTTTAAAACATGACTTTTGCATTGATTTTGATATTCCATGATGTACTATTGTTGCAGGTTCACCCTTTGTCCCACAGGGGGCGGCAGGAAGCAAAAAAAAGGCGTGTCCCACAGGGGGCGGCAGGAAGCAAAACAAAACCTGGAAAAACTGAATATATCTCTCTTGGCAAAATGAACTGAATGAAGTCAAACCAAAAAAACTAAGTGACACCGTTTTTATTCAGTCTAAAACAGTGCATATAAATATAAAGATGACAGTGCAGAACGTACTGGAGAGTGATGCTCACTGAAACATATTTAACAACTGACTTAAGAACATGTTGAACATGTAACATTCATTATTTGTTATAAAAAACAAATAAAAATAAAATTCAAAAAGACACTGGTAGTTTCTGTAACAGACCTGATCTATGAACTGCTAATTTAACAGTGATTGTGAAGAGATTATTAATGATCTATTACCCATGTAATCACATTTTAAACACGTGCTTGGTTAAAGAAATTCTGGCGGTATGAGTAAAATAGAACCAGAGCAGATTCAAGTGTGAATCAGAAGCAACACTCAACTGCTATGACCTTTACGTGCTGGTGTGTTACAGTGCAAAAAAGTCACTAAGAACTGATGTGCACATCTTAAACAGTATTAATACTGAGTTATAAAGCCTAAAACACTGTTGTTGAGTCACTGATGTCACTGTGAAGGTGGACTGATGTCATCCCCATCATCACTTTCCCACTCCTCATCCTCCTCCATTTCCATTTCCTCAGCGTCCACATCATTCTGGCTTTCTATCCTGCTTTCTCTCAACACCGCGGCCAGTTCGCTGACGGCCTCTTTGACCACCGACAGCTCGTTCTTCATCTTCAGGATGCTGTTCTGAGCCTGTAGTGTGTCCAGCTCCTGTCTGATCACCAAGATTTCATTCAGGGCTTTCAGCATGCTGTCCTCGGTCCCGAACACCTGCAGCGTCACCTCCTCCAGCCTCTTCTCCGCACCGCTCAGGTCGCTGCTCAGCTTCAGGATGGAGCGCACTGCCTCCTCCACCTGCGGCAAGTGTTCTTCACACTCCTGCGCTCGGGGGATGTGGTCCTGGAGCTCGGCACTGAGCTCCGCTTCTCTTTTCTTCAAGCTGCCCACCTGGGATTCCAGCTTGTGGATCTGCTTGGTATTCCAGTCCAGATGTTCCTGCACTTTCTTGGTGTCGTCGTTCTCCGTTCGCTCCATAGCCCGGGCGTTCCTTTTGGTGCTGTCCTCCAGCTCCTCCAACCTCTTCTCCAGGGCTTTGGCCCTCTGTTCTGCTTCATTCACTCGCTCCGTGGCTCCGGCATGAGCTTCCCTGGACTCCACTTTCAGACCATCCAGGTCTTTGGTAATGGAGGCCAGCTGCTCCTGCCACGTCTCCGTCACATTGAGGAATCGAGAGTTGACAGTCTGGAGATCGCGGGAAGCAGAGTTTTCATCGGCCTGTATTGTAGTGACGGCAGAGTGGAGCGTGGAGATGTCCTGCTGGAGCCTGGCTGCCATGGAGACGGTGGAGAGCGCCTCCTGTAGGTCTTCCTCAGAGGCAGCAAGCTGCAGCCGCAACACAAAACAGTAGGGCCGTTTGTGTGGCAGATCGATGGCCCTCAGCATCATTTACAGATAGACAGTAAAACACTGTTCACGCGTATAACCACAAGAAGTGTCAGATAAAAAGTGTTAAACTAGGAAAACACCAGATTATTTATATATTTCACATTAATAAAAAATAAATGTATATTTCAGCAATTCTGTTCTTCAATTTAATTAGTTATTAAACAGAAAAAGCAGGCAATGAATCATGATATACGTATATATCATGATTCATTATAACTCCTTCATATATTACACTAAATAGGACTTTTTTTAAAGAAAAGTATATTAAGGGTTAATTTTTTTAATAACTCCCTGAACAAGTAAGTTTTTCATTGTGTATTCCCTAGTTTTCTGAAATAAAACTACTTTTAAAGCTCTATTTATGACACTTTAAAATACATTAAAATGCCATGTGCTTGACCTTATGAGTTACAAATACCTATTATTAACACAAATATCAAATTTTCTGTAAGAAGATTTTAGTCTGTGTGCTACAGAAGCCTGGTGAGACATTTATACTCAGACCTTGTTATCATTACCCAGCATACGATATATTCACATTCTGCAATACTCGGTCAAACTCCACTATTTTAGAAAAACTACTTTCAGCTTTAGCCGTCAGGGTGAAGTTGCAACAGGCCTACAAATCGAACGCACCTTTCTAGAAACTCTCAGAACTTCCTCCTCCATCTCAAACAGACTGGAAGTTTTCCCCTGCAGTGATTTGTACTTCTCCTCCATTTGGGAAAACCTCTCGTTCTGTTGCATCACCATCCTAGAACAAGAGAAATAACTCAAATTACACAACAACATAAATATTAAACTCAAAATGAATCTCAATTCACGGTGACAGAACTTACCAGCTAAGAGCTCCACAAGCTGCTAGCGACATTACACACAATAAACTTCTAATGTCCAAACTAGAGGAGCTTTTATCTGCTATTTTGCTATTTGCCGATTCTGTTTTAACTTTTTTCGCCTCGTTTTTACCGTTAGTTGTCAAATTTTCGGACGCTTCATCTCCATGTTTCTGCGTCTTCTTCCTCTGCTTCACCTCTGTGGGCATTTTAGCCACTAACCTTTCGCAGTCAAGGAATTCAACGAGTTCACCGATAAACTGAGATATTCTTTTTCACCCTTAAGTAAAATGCGTCACTCATTCAACAAATACACTTATACTAGGGCATATTATATTAAACAGCGGTCATTAACGGACACGTTTAACTGCCAATAACAAACTGCTGTGCCTTGAAAAAAATGTGGCGTTTAGGTACTATTGAACAGCTAGTACATTCAATAGTAAACGAGAACGAGACACGATAAAGAGAAGCATGCCCATATCGTTTTAACAGCTATGGTCGGTTTTTTCATAATATTTTACCGTATCATTTAAATAAATGATTTTAATATAACTGTATAATCAATCATTTCTATTAACGCATTAGATATTCTAGGGAGTTTCCTGAGTGGTAAAAAATCCGACGACATAGGGAGGGCGTTAAACGCCTCAGCTGGCCACGTAGGCGGGTGCCAGGATTTGTGCCTGAGATGCATTAATTAGAGTAGATTGATTACGAATTACGAATTACATAATTAAATGATATTAAGGAACGTCATTTATTAAAGTTCGATGTTCTCCTAAGATCATTTCCCCCAGAAATATCTATACCATTAACAAGACCAAATGTTGTTTGGTCTTTTTGTAAAACGCTAGCGGTATTCTTTTTTTTATTAAACAAAACACAGCTGGTATACACTTGTAAAAAAAAAGAAAAGTAAAATTATTCAGCAACTGTTGACATAAATCAAATGTTGACAAAACTATATTAATTGCTTAGGAGAGTTAAGTATTTCCCGTTTAATTTTTAACTAGACCTTGAAACGCGTTGCCAGATCTCGCGAGAGAAATAAGCAATCACGACTACAAGAAACTATGTCAATTACTAACATTTTAATTAATTATAAATGGAATTTCTTCACACGTAACTCTGAGATTAATAAATGGACAAAAACTGAGACAACTGAGTTTAAGTTCAAGCCATTTATTAGGCATGTTCCCAAAAACGTTTATGAGATCAAAAATGTCCAAAATCAGATAACAAACTCTTATGTTTTTCGGCAACTCAAAGCCCTATGTCCAACACTGTCCTCCAAATACACAAGTAGTTACTCTCTAAATGTTCTTAGCAGTCTCATATATTCATGTTGCGTAACAAGAGCCATGCAAATAATGTAGTTATAACATACACTTTCTATGTAACAATTACTAACATTTTACAGCAGAAAATGCATATATTTTATTAAATGAAGAAAACAAGTAAACCATGGACACATTACCAACTCTGACGCTTAGCTGTGATTTGCAAAACAGTACATTCAAGCAAAGAAAAAACAAAAAACTTCCGACCACGTGCAATTTCTAAACAAGTGCAAAACAGAAACACGACTCCACAGCATTAGAATATCTGAATATGAAAGCTTAAAGAGGTCTTTGGAATAAGGCATCTCGTGACTGAGTAAACACAAAGTTGACCAGCAAAGAAACATTCTAGAACATTTTAGTGTTTTTCCTAGACTTGAACAAGTCGAGCTCACAAAAGGCATAAACAGCAAAGCAAATCCATCAGAAACATAATCATCCTGCTCCGAAAGCTATAGAACCCTAAAAAAAAACATAGGATGTCAAATAAAACAAAACGAAAACAACAAACTTTTCAAGGCTTTTCTTTAGGTTTTTCCAGCCCTGAGTCTCAACACTGCCACCATCATATCATATCATCAAACAGCTCACTGGGAGATTGGCGCTACACAAGAGCATCGTCATCATCGACTCTCAAGGCGTCTGAGGCTGAGGTTTTAATGCAGTGGACACAAAGTCAGGTAAACATCTCAAAGACTCCAGCTCCTAGCACACTACAGACAAACAAGGTGCGTAACAGGACAAGCTTAAAGTAACCACCGACAAAACTGTCAATTATTTTCTATGCATATATTACCCATAAATTAAGGACCAGAATAATATAACACCATTTTAAAGAAAAAGTTGGACATATTGTGGGTTATTTTTTTTAAATACATTTTTAGGGTCAGAACAGACAATCAACACCACTTCTCAATCTCTCACATTTAAAGCAGTGGTTCTCAAAGCATGGGGCGGACCCCTCCGGGATGTGTCATTTCAGTATTGACTTTTGATGAGAGCGGAGAATATTGTGCTGGTTAAAACCTCAATCTTTCATCAAGACACAGACTTTTTTTAATATGAGAACAAGGGGCAAATGTTTTTTTGTTTTAGCAAAAAACCTCCTAAAAGATATTCCAAACTCTCAGTCTCTCAGATATTTGTTAATCCCATCTTTTAGTTAATTTTTTTCCTTATATACAGTTTTATTTTTAGCATTTAAAACTATAAACTGTCCCCTTTTGTAGACTAACTGCAAAAACCAAAAAACAAAACCCTGCATGTCAACAAATATCCAAGATTATTTTTAACTGTTATAAAATTTATAGCTTCTCAGGCTCCACGTCGTCTCCTTCTCATCCAACGATAACGAAAATGTAACTCCCTGGAGGACTAAGAAGGTTTTGTGCCATTCAAGCCAATCAAACGTTTCACATCAGTTACAAACTCTAATTTATATATACCTGTTCCCCTTAGGTTTCCTCACTTAAGATTTCAGACCCATTCATGTGGAGAAGCAAACATAAGTGCACTTTGGGGCTGGAGAAAAGGTCACTTTCAAACCTGTGGTATTTCTGTGCAAGACGTGAGAAAAGAAAGGTTTTCTCATCAAAGTGCGAATCATGATAGTTTTTTCCATTGTCTTCGCTGCTTAGGTTTTCAGCTTACCAAGAAAGAACAGAATTGGATTAGAAAAAAAAAAATCAAAAATCAAATTTCACCTTCATGGCACCAGAAACCTCTTCAGGCTGCTTTACACAAAAAAAAATAAAAATAAAAAATCAAATTTCACCTTCATGACACCAGAAACCTCTACAGGCTGCTTTACACAGTATTTCTAAATATTCCACCCTCCCAAAAACCACATATCAAGTCAAATTACATCATTAACTAAATATTCTTCATCATCTGCCGACTTCACACAGAAACCTCTCTTCAACATTAACTAATATTATCCACCAGACTTTAGGATTTCACCAACTCTTCTATACACAGCATTTTTAAAAACAAATATATATTCAGGTGTGAATGTATTCAGGACAAACTTCAGGTGAATGGGTGACTGATGTGTCGCAGAGCAGAGTGGTTCAGAGAACTTCCACTAGGTGGAGAACTTTCACTCACAGAGAAATTGACCCCACTCTGGTTTTCAGAGGACAAATTTGAGATGAAGTAACCAGGACTCAGGAGTTGTAGTGATCCTGGAAAAGAGAGACGAACAAACACCATCAGACTTCACCATCAAGGACTGGACCTCGGTCAGTTTTAATTGGATAACTTTGTTCTGGACAATGAACCAAAGGCATCATCGACAGAATGTGACAATGGATGTCAACGTTCATTAACAAAACTATTATTAAACTTTTTATTATTTAAAAAAAATCATCACCGACCTGAATGGTGTTGACGACTCCACTGGCCATGACTGAGAGTTTTCCCGCCACTGACCGCACGCCCATTTTTAGCTGTGTCATATCAGGAGCGTTGGGCAGCACGTTAGTCAGGCGATAGGAACTTCCTGTGGACACGGGACAAAGACATCAAAGTTCTATATATATATATGTCAACTGATCGTTAATAACTGTGAAGATATGCAGCAGTGGTTTGATACCTGATTGTTTCTTCTGCTCCTCAAAGAGATCTGCTGAACTTATGGCCAAAGCATTATTTCCAGCAATTCTCTCCAGTCGGGTCATAGCCTCATACTAGAATAAAAAAAAAAGTACAGCAATATTTTCTTCTGGAGTCTCAGGTTATACCTGAAAAACTTGAATTCACCTGTAACACTGTGTACTCCAGTGAGAGCTTACCTCAGGATTGTCTTGTTTTCCAAAGACCATCTCAGAGGAAATGGCCTTGACCTCTCCAAACCTCTTCTGAGTGTCTCCTGTGTCTGATACTACAGTGGTGTCAGGTTTCCTCCTGGCAGGTCTGGGGTAAGAAATAAATGATTAAAGAAAAACATTAGGAACTAAATGAAACGCGACAAAAACCAAATCAACCCTGTATAGTGACTTCACAGTTAAGTAATGACTTTGGTGCTAACTATTAGAATGGCTAACAGATAACAGATATTTACAAAATAATATTGGAGTAAACAATTAATGTTTCGGAAAAGTGATGATGATTTGTGCAAATTAATTAAATTGTGCTGAATAATGACAATTAGGCAAGCAAACTACATGATCTAAGTAATGACATAATACTAGCAAATAATATTTGTGCTAACTAAATGTGACTAAATGTGTGCAAAGTACTGACATGTTTACTAACCTATGAAATTTGTGCTTATAAGTGACATTTGTGCTAACTAATTTAATGTGCTAAATGATAACACTTGTGCTAAATAATTAAATTTGTGCTAATTATTGATGCTTGTGCTAACTAATTTAATTTGTACTAAATAATAGTAGTTTTTAAAGACACAACTTTACACAAATCTGTCGTTTCTAGTCTCAACATACGGATGTTACCAGCGACAAACACAGTTTCTGACCTGTCGTCCAGTGAAGACATAGATGACAAGAAGAAGTCCGGCTCTGGTTTTCGGCTTCGATCCCTGTCATCCTCCCGCCGTGATGATTCTGTCTCATCCTCAAATCTAGAACTTCTGGACATGAGGTTCAAATGAGCATCAAGAGGGGAAAAATCATTGGAAATAATAACGAAGCAAAGACAGAAGTTACCTGGACGTGAAGCTCCCTTCGTCATCTTCTTCCTCCCTGTACTTCCATCCTTTGCCGGTCTTTGTCCCCAGTGGACTCTCCTGTTGGATGATGTGCATGTTTGAGGTGACAGAATGTGAAACGCCACTGTAGGGAAGAGCAGAGTCACAGCAGGTCAAATATCAACAGACCAGTTTGACAAGGAAAGGAAAAAAAAAAACCCACAGCCATCACCTCCTCAGCTCACCTCCTCATGCCTAATCCCATTCCCAGTCTCTCTGCCTGCTCTCTCTTATTCCCCTCTAAACCTTTCAGCTTGGCGTCGTCTTTTTTCCTCTGCTGCTCCAGATCTTTGTAGGCCAGACGCAGAGATGGAGCACTGACAAAAGGAGTATGAAAAAGGAAAACCTTTTGGAATAAAGGGTGTAAAAACAGACAACCTAAGACAGAAACTGGTGTTTCTGCTTTGATTAATTTGTAAAGTTAATCGCATTTAGATTTAGTAGTATAATCTAACACAAACACAGAATGACATACGATGTATATACAATAAATTCCAGTCTTGGAATTGGTTTATAATATATACTGTATTTTACTCTCTGTCAACACCCTGTGGTCAGGTCAATGCATTACACTGAACTAAGAGCATCAAACCAAACGTACATGGACTCCTCAGACTGAACGTTCCTCTTAGGGTTAACAGCACTCTCCTCTTTCATTTTGTCAGCAGCCTGAGCTTTCTTCTCCAGCTCGGAGAAACTCTGGTTGCTGACCTTCTGAGCGCCTAGACCGCCTTTCTTTGAGGCCAACTGCAGGTGAAGACATTTCACGTAAAACAGAAATTGAATGAAGGTTGTTTGTCCGCCTCAACATAGAGTCTAACTTTAACCTTGGACTCACCGTTTTCTTGGCAGCTGTGGGTTTCTTCTTGAGAAGAGATGGCAGGTCTGAGGGAAACAAAGGAAATTTGAATTACATCTACTTCAATTTAGCAAAGAGGGAAACACTGAAATATCACAGGTGGATTAAAGACCAAAGGTGAGGTATCAGGGGGCGTGAGGGGCTTCCAATGGAATATGGCATGCTGGGCATAAGTGTACCACTGCTGTAATACTTGAATGATAACATGCCTCCAGTCACTAGGTGGCAGCAACTCATACAGTGGTTTGTACAGATAGAAATATACATGTTATCAGGTTCTCAATAGTATTTTAATTCCCAGGGTAATGGGTTGTAGAAAACTTTGTGAATACTTGTTAGGTATGAGAGACAGAGTTTGACTTTAATGACTAATTTTCTTGATTTAAACATGAACTAGAGTTTCATTAGTGTAACTCTCAGTAAACCAACCTGGATTTGCCTTTGGAGAAACACTCAGCATTTCCACACTTGGCCCTTCATCTGTGTTACCTGAAAAATGTTAATGCACACATGAATAACATTTAGTCAATATCAATAAGTTTTGTTTTGTGTGTGTGTGAGAGTACCATTTTTGTTGTCTTCTTTCTGGGCTGCGGAACTCGGCTCTGATAAGTAGGAGCTCAGGCTCATTTTGGCCATGTTGAAATCTTCAGGTTCGACCTTTGACATTAAAACACACACAGCAGAGGTCAAGGTAAAACAGCTGGTGTTTGTGTGCAGTAGCAGCAGAAGGCTGTGAGAACATCTGGACCAGGTGATCACACTGGTTTACCTGTGAGTGCAGACTGAAGAAGTCCACCTGCTTGTCTCCTGGTGATGTTGGAGACATCGGAGCCTGACCATCGAGCCACAGCTGTGGAGAAGAAGTCATCAGGTGACTCAACCCGAGGCTCACAGCTCAAATTCAAGCAGCAAATATATTTATATATGTATAAATATATAATACATATATATAATACATATATATATAATACATATATTAAATATATTTGTTTTTATATATCTTTTTTTTTTGCCAAACAGCTACTTTAAGATGACCTTCCACTTTTAATGATGTGCTCAGACTATTGATCTTTCTGTGTAACGGTTAGTAATTTTTTGGAAAATCTAACTTTTTGGCTAATGTTAGCCCTTTCTCGATTTATTTCTTTTTTCAGGAAAACACCTACAGTATATTTTTGCACCCTTGCTTTGTAACTTTTACTACCTTCAGTTAGCTCCCAGCTTTTTTGCTATATTTCAGCTAAATTGGCTAACCTTAATGGGTGTCATGTCTGGACAAATGGGTTTTTCCACAGCACAACAGATGGATGTTATTGGTCAGTTTTAGTATGACAAGTATCTCCTTACCTCAGTGCCATGACTCCTGGTGGCCTGTGTAGCTAAGGTCCTTATCTTCTCTCTGTACAGCTGAGCAGCTCGGCTGTTGTATTTGGCGTTGGCCGCGTTGGTTGTGCAGTTGTGCTGATTAAAAAACGCAACCTGCCGTGGGAAGGTAACAGGGGACAAAGAGAAAAGTAAACAGGAGTCAGACAGTGTAATCATGTGTTTGTCACATGATGCTGTGTTGGCAGACAGATGGCAGACAGATGATGCTGATGACGAAGAGACTTTGCCCTCGAAAAGCAACTCACCGCGCTGGCATTGCCTCCCACTTGCATACACCTTAGATGAAACCAGGACCAGTTAAAGTCCAGCTCAGTGGATCTGAGAAGGATAGAAGAAGAAAACAAAATAAACAAAGACAGGCTGTCAGTCTATGGCTGAACTCTCCGTCCTTTAGGTTTGCCCTGATTGTCCTATTTCACGGGAATAGGGTCAGAGACCCAGAGAGAAAACAAAAACAACTAGACAAACACAGTAAGAACCCACTGGCAACATTCTTGTCACCTTACCTAAATCTTGAAAGACAGCATTTTTAAAAAAATAATATTTTTGCCTGGGTAGAAAACCAATTTAAAGCACAAAAATACACAGTTTCAATCCCAACTGACCTGATAAAGCTCAGGTGCACCCCCAGAGACCTGTGTGTCCCGGAGCAGTCTATACATAGAAACACACCGTAGGTGATGCTGGCCCAGCTGGGGTTTTTGGCTGCACAATCAAAGCAAACCTGAGAGGAATAGACAACAGGAGACAAACTCAATACAGGGACAGTTTATTATTAAAACATAGCTTCAGAGAAACTTTTTATGTGGCATGAAAAGACAACCTCCTGATTAAATAATACACTGAGTTTAAAGTCAATAAAAGGCAACAGGAAGACAAAACAAACTTAATGATGAATGGGCTGCTTTTATCAGGCTTATCAATGAGGAAATTAATAGCTGTTTTTATTTAAAATGCAACATCCAATAATGTTCTCAGTGACTGATGATTTATTGTTATAATTGTTATAACAATATTGTTTTTTCTTGTTACTGACAGTGCATCAGTGGAGACATCAGCTTTAATGACAGTTCAAATACTGACAAGAAACCCATGTTCAGACGTGATGTTAATTATGTTAAGTAAAAGTAGCATCAATTTTATACTTTTTTTATTTCAAAAGAAAAAAGATGGTGTGAAGAACCTTTCAATCTGAAACTTTTTTTAAAAAAATTAGAAAAATGTTAAAATAAAAAAATAAGTTTGAAGACAACGCATTTGTTGGGGTAATGTTTGTTGGGAAAATATTTCCATGTTACAAATTTTTAATAAATCATAATTAATCATAAACATAAATGTTTTGCAAATGTGTAAAAACAACTGCATTGTGAATAAATATAAAGACTGTAAAATATAATATAAACATATAAAACAGTGTAAAACAATTTTAGTACGATACACATTAATGCTAATTAAAAGCAAAATTAAACAGTAACAAAAAAAACAGCTGAATAAATTGTATCAACAAACTGAACACCTTTTACTAAAAAGCAGGAGTTTTGTTTTTATTCTGCTGTTCTGTATTTAAAGGAAGCTAAGGGCTTAACTGTCAGAACGTAGCTGACAATGCTGTCAAACCGCTCTGGCTAACGTTAGCACTTCCACTGAAAGTTTATTTCGTTGACAAATGTTACCACGTCACAACCGAGGCCTCAAAAAGTAACTGCGCGGCTTTTTAATGTGTCATTTAATAAATAGATGTTACATTTAATTTGTTTGGTGATAGCTAGTCTTCGATATTTCTCCTATGTGCGACGTGTCAGCTTCGACACTTTTGACTTCCTTGTTATGCTGAGCAGGAGCAGCACCAGGACCATGACATAAACTAAAAAACCCGTACCTTGTTTGTAGGAATGGAGCGAAGTCGCTTAAAAATAGTAGAAATATCGTGTCTACTGGGCTCCGCCATGGTTCCCGCAGCTGGTAAAACCTGTTGGTTCCACAAAACAGGTCTGAGTGTGGCTTCAAAAATGAAAAATAGTGCTGTTCTCCTCAATACTGACTGACCGATTGAGACACGTCAGTGGCGGAACACCATTCTTGGTCTCTGATTGGACAAAAATGACAGGTGGTTATGTTATTGTGACAAAGGCTCCTGGGTAATGAAGTTGATCTCGTCAAAAGAAAAATAAATGGCCGCAATGTAGAAACTCGGGCTCAAACCACAAAACAAGTATCATTCGTCGAATTTTTTTTACTTGGCATGTATGATACAACCATTGTACTATTAAAACATTTCATGTTCACAGTTAACATTTCATTTTATACAACAACTGTAGGTTTTCCTTGGCTGACTTAGTTATTAGTATTACTAATATTTACCTATCTCTGGCCATCATTTCTACTAATTTTGTTTTTGCTGACCTAAAAGCTAGCTAGCTATCTTCATGGCTAGCTTCCCATGGCGGACAAGTAAACATGTTGCTAATAAAGTCTTGCCTTTTTGATGTAATGAACATGTTTCTCTGGCTTTCCATGATCAGGGGCTTGTGTCTAATATATTTAATTCTTCTGTGTATATTTGATTTTTGTTTTTTGGAATTCTTGGATCCATGTCTATGTTTTGGTATCATAAGATTTAACATATAAAACAGTGTCATTCTAGTACATTAAACTGTCTCTGAAACAAGGGCATAATAAAATATAGCACAGAAGTAAAACACAGCATACGAGGAACCCTGTCAGAACGGGTTTGAAAGGTGTTGGTTGTGTTTCAGCCGAGAACATTATTATTCTTCATATGAATTTATAACATAACATAAGCATGTCAGGGTAAGACTTAGTCAAACATAATGACAAGTGTTTGTAGAGGTGGTTTGTTGCCTTAGATTGAGCCTTTTATATTTCCTTTAGACTATAGCTTTGAAGTCACGGACAAGTATTAGCATCTAAACAGCAGGTCTAAAGTTTACTAAGCTAGCTACATCCACACGGGTCCAGACACTGAACCCTGGTGGACTCCATGAAAGTCAGTAAAACCCTAGGATGAACACAAATGGTAAAATATTTACATAGCATCTGTTGTTTTTTATTTAATGATTATGGCCTTCTGTGGAGAGGGGAAAAACACAGAATCATATTTACAAATATAACAAAATAAGATTTACAGGTTATTTTTTTTCCCAATAAAACATTCAATTCATGTACAAGGTGATTTCTCAGTCACAGCATTTCTAACGAGAGTAGAACAAAAGCACTTGTGGCATCATAAATTAACAACTATCAACTTCCAACTACATCTGATCCTGGTGCTTAATTTTGTTCTATGGTGTTCAATGAAGGTTATTTATAGGCAGTAAAATAGACTAACAACATTTTTAATTGATAGTTTGTACTGTTTTGCAATTAAAAAAGGCCTAAAATGAGACAGAAGAAAAAAAAATGAAACAGAGGAGATTCAAGTCAGAATAAATCTGCCGACATTTTTCAGTGTTGTTGAAATATAAAAAATATTGTTATGGTTTGAAAAAGAGAAAAATAAATTGTGTTAAAGAAATACGGAGAGTTGAGGACGCCGATGCTTCAGTGGAGCCAATCGGCTCTAAACGACAGTGAATGAAGACAGGTGAAAAAAAATACAATCAGTGAACATACATTCAATTGCAGTGATTTCAGGTGAAATAAACTTCCCCTCTAAACAAGAACTAAACGAGAAAGAAGTGAGGATAATTGTTGCTACAGAGTTGCATCATTCCTTTTACAATACCACAGCAGCTTAGGAACTAATTGGGAAAACTAAACCCTGAAAAGATAACCGGATCGTCATGGGTTTAAAATCAACTAAAGTCTAAACTGATAAAATTCCATTTACGGAACTTCCTGTTATGAGCAAAAACAGTTCATAAGTCCTGTTTAACGTTGGATCACCTCCCTTAACAAATCCATAGTGGTTTGCGCATAAATCGCAGGGCTAACATTTGCCAGACTGTCATCCCAGTGTTTGATTTACAATAAAATATAAATTCTCACAAAAAAGTTACTCGAGTCTTATCTAATATATATTTGAATATCTACTTTTGTAACAGCATGAATGGGATCTTAAGTAACATCTTATGCCAACAGCAATGTCTGGTCAGGAATCATCAGGAAAAGATGGTAAATTAAATAATACCATCTTTCTGTTGAGTTTCTGTGAGCGTGGAGTGGTCCATTATTAATGCCAAACCTCTTCCAATTGTTTTTCACTGCTTCAGTCCAGTCTTCAGCGATGGGGAAGAGAGCAGTTCAGTGTAACAGAGATCACTTTCTTTTTTCCAGCCCCACTGTTCTTCATCACTTTCTACTTTCTTTGTGATGGTCTCATCTCAGATGATTGGTTATTGAATGGGTTCCACGTAGTTAGCAGGATACAGGCCCGTCTGTCCGTCCTTGAGTCGGCCTTTGCACCAGCCCTGGTCGTCTTCCTCGCCAATTTTAGTAAATTCGTCCCCTGTGAAATGAAGACACACGTACGTATCAGTTATCTGCATCTATAGTAGGACACTGAGAAGAGCTGCAGCTGACCAATACTGTACAGAAAAATAGAGCTATGTTCTAGTACGAGACACCAGAAGTTAACTGGTGTTGTCTACACTCAGGTTCTTACTGGATGAGACCAGCTCTGTCAGAGCTCAGATCAAAAACAAGTAGTCATTTATTGCTCATAAAATTATACGTTTTACTAAACTCAACACAGTAGCGCTTTGGCCCAGAGCCAATGTCTCTGTCATTGGTGTGGAATTCCAGGGTTAACGATCGAATCCCGGTTAGGGTGGTTGGTACCTTCCAGTGGACTCACCACCCACAGGAAGGTTCAGGGGGGTTGGTACAGTGCAGTGTGATTTTGGTGGCAGGCATGGAAACTGCTGCCCCCGGTAACGGGTAAGCGGATGAAAATGGATGGATAGATGGACTAAACTTGTGATGCCTTCACTGTTCTAGGTACAATTTGCTTTGCTGCAACTTTTCTGGTTGTTTCATATGCTTTTGGAATATGAGATAGATAAGTAAAGAATGATCATTATCGGCTTGTCCACATGTAAAGTTTAATGTTAAAGTTTAAAACGACTGAAGTGAACATGATCTCTAAAGGCTTGCTGCTGATGTAGTCGTAGTCAAAGTACCTGCACTGAAGCTGAGTTCATCCTGCTCCTGTCCTTCATAGTCATACAGAGCTTTAACAGGCACGGATATGAGCGGAGACGTCGGCTCGTCCTCAAAAGGATTTCCATCCCCGTTGGCAGAGAAGGGGTTAGAGCCTTGGTCTTCATCTGAGCAGTCTGGAGTCTTCTCTGAACTGCGCACACTGACAGACAGACAAAAAAAAAAAACCTTAGAAAATGTGTTTTCTTAAAAACGACATTATGTGACATTAAGGACTAACAGGACAATCCAGCGTGCCAGGTGTAAGCAGTCACAAATGTCCACAGTTAGAAAAAGAAGACACCACAACACCAAGTTTAGTTTAAATACGAAAAAGCCCATATTTTATGTATATGAAAAATTCTTCACAAAGTGTGAAATAAAAACATGCTTTAGAAAGACATCAAGCAAGCATTCTTCTGGAGTAACATGAAAAAAAAAAGATTTAATTTACTCTACTTCTTAGCGTAAAGATCAAGTGCTAGAAGTGCAAGTGCTCACGATGCCAGAAGTAACGATATGCAACGGGAAAACGACACAATACGGTGACAAGCAAATCAGGTCCGTGAACAAATGATTGGGTTTGAGCCCGAACGACCAGCAGAGGGAGCCACCTGACCACCAAAAACAGTAACACAACAGGATACACACATGGTTTACAGTCAGACCTGTTCGTCACCTGCTGTTGACTTTGGGCATGCATCAGCTGTTACTGAAACTGATGATGATTGTATTTTTTTTTTTTCGAATCTTCAGCTACAAAAGCTGTTTCAGGATCAGCACTGGAAATACAGCATTAACAAGTGTAGATCAGGACTGACTGTTCAGAGATACATATTAATATATACAGGAGATCAGGACTGACTGTTCAGAGATACACATTAACATATACAGGCTCAAGTTCCCACAGCAGAGACATGCGTCCCCATGCGCATCACATGTGGTGTTCTGCAAGACATGGTACTGTTACAAGGGTGGTTGAGACACACGTGTTTTTGTCTGTGTGCACTGACAGTCCAGTGACCATGCAGATCAACACAAACACCTGCCACCTGAAGACGGAGAAAGGACACTGGGATACAAAAAAGACCCAGAAATAAAGAGGGGAAAAAAACCCAACACGTAGTAAAGATAGGAAAACAGAGGAGGCAGGAAGGTTGCACGTGGGAAGGAATGGAGCGTTTTTTTTTTTTCTCCTTTTCACCAACATTTTTATTTCCTCTTTGGTGGCACTGATGTGGTTGACTACAGTCTGCTGCTCCAACGCCGTTTCCTCCTCGTCCTCCTCGTCTTCATCGTCTTCAAAGGGGTTGGAGCCCGGCGGTGCCGTTTTATTGAGCACAGTAAGACTGACAACATGGGACACAGTGAGTTGTAGGTACGAACAGGGAGAGACACATGTGACAGAAGGAGACGTGGATGATGCAGGGGGTCAGTGAGGGATTTTTAAGACTGCTGCGTTGATGCTGACATCTGTCGACTGTGGTTAGACTGTGGCTCAGGTCTGGCAAACAGGACCAGACCACCCAAGTTACATCACTCCATGCCATATGTGGGACAAACCAATGAGTTTTCCTGAGTTTGTTTTTCTCTTTTTTTTCTAACTTGTGGCTGTCAGCTCTGACGTCGACATCAGTCGTACAAACTATCTCATCATTTCATTTTTCAACTGCTCAACCTGAGTTTTTACAGTCGTACAAACTATCTCATCATTTCAACTGCTCAACCTGAGTTTTTCTAATGATCTTCTTCCAATAATATGTATACTTTATGTATGACTGAGTCCAAGTTTATCAGCATCTAAATGTAGTAAAGGGAATACGCTGAATAAATACTCCTGAAGTACTTCTTTTGATCAGTGATGGCTTATTTTCACAAACATGTGAGATGATATGTCATGGTGAATTCTCACAGTATGTTGGTGTGAAACCTGAGTAAGAAAGTTATTACTATAACAAGCAACATCAACCAGATTCTCATATCAATGACAAAAGAGCACCGTGTTTACTCAACACAGCTGAAACACATTATTACTGCTCGGTGTTGCTCTTTAAATACACAGACTAACAGCCATTATATAATAAAAACACACACACTACACTATAGTCCTGTCTGTGATTATGAATGTCCTACACTGTGAAACTACATTTGCATTTGACCAGAATATATCACTGGGTTTCTGTTTTTCCCCTACAGGAGGGTAAACCCCTGCCGTTATCTACGGCCCTGCAGGGAGTGAAGCAGGGAAATGTGATGAAATGAGGAGTAACGTCGAGGAGGTTTTGGTCAACAAACAAACTTGACCCGACGGCATTAGTGAAGCTACTGGTCATCAGGCCAAAACCATGCTGACACCATGCTTCAAATGAGGGAACATTCAAACAAACAGTGCTGACCACACAAACACAATGCACTCCCACATGCTGTCATGCACTTAAATGAAGGAAACGATAGTGAGACAATGTGCACCGTGAAATGTCGGTTGATGATGTGTTTTTTTTCACTTTCAGAGGTCAGATACTTTTCATGCCTGACATTCCCTCTGTTGACTCCACTACACACAGAAACACACTCCTTTGCATGATTCCTGAAGACACTTTACATAAAAAGGTGTGGATCAAAAGCTGAAAGGAACTAAGTCTGGAGAACCACACAAAGCCAGTGGATATAAATCAATGCTCATTACCTTTAAATACATATATTTGCATATATAAAGAACTTTTCCCATCACTTTGCTGACATCAGCTCCACTCTGCTCACATGCTCTGGTACAGATGAGAAACAAAAGCTGTAGAAGTGGATAACACTGGTATTAAGGGTATAATCCAGTTTGGCGACCCACCAGAATTAGCTCTCCAGCTCACTTCACTGTCCTCTCAAACTATTTCAGAGAAACTCTGTGACGGCTCATTACTTAACTACAAGTACTGTAAGGAAGAGATAAGGACTTAAAAGTCCGAATACAATTCAGCGACGACAACTGCACTCTCACAGAAGGTCAGAAAGTCACTCATATTTATAACCACGGCGACAGTTATGTGAACATTTCTAGGCTAATCAGCTGTTTGTTGTTGTTTCCATGAACTAAAGTCGCTGGAGCCGTTGCCACAACACTCTACAGGGACAAAAAAAACGCCTTATCTTATCTGGTATCACCAAAGATGATATCACGGCCATCAAGTAGAATCAAGTAGAACATCAAGAAGCTGAAAATCTTTATGTTCCGTACATGGTTTCTGACTGAGATAAAACTTTGTGCTGAACAGTCGGTGCTAAACTATTTGCTATAAAACCAATTACTGTACAGCGTGATTGTTCCTATGTTTATTTTTATATTATGACTGATTCATGCGTCTTTAACTAAAACACCACTAATCCAGCTTTGCTTAAAAATTTTCCGGCAATAATATGAACAGCTCCACAGAAGGCCTTAGTGGGTATGAGTAACATTTTCACATTTTCTTTGGAATGTTCTCAGACTGACGTCTCTCAAGGAACAACTTCTTTCCTAACAAACAGTGACTACATGTTTAGCGTTGCCACGACAACCGCAGCACAACTAAAACGTCACCCTCTCCGTGATGCAGTGCTTTTATGAGAATTCCTTCGGCGTACTGCCTGGATCAGTGAACATGTGGGAGAAGGATCAGGTGTGAAGTGTGTTTTTGTTTTTTCCTGAGATCTACCTGCTGGCCTTCACCGGCTGGTCTGATCCAGTCTGACTGATGCCAGTCAACGTGACGCCGTCTGAAGGCTTCTTCTTTTCCCGTCTGCTGAGCGTTCGGTTCAGGTCTATGGACCAGTCCTGGTACGGGAACACACACACATTGCAGTCAGATGTTAGCGCTTACCAATGAACATCTGTGTCTGCTGCAGAGGGCGGGGGAGATGGAGGGGGGGGGGGGGCATCATAGGTATGTCCACAGCAATACACACAGACACACACATGATAACACTTCATACACACAATTCTCACCCGGTGCAGCCATCTGTGTACAGACTGGAATGTAAAATGTTCGTGCACATGTTTAAACTGAACAGTGAACACCTGATAAAACAAAACACCGTGAACAGAATCCACCACCTGTTGGAGGAAACACGGCACCAACGGGTTTCACCTCCACCAGGGCTTTGACTTCAAATCTGGAGTTTAATTTTTTTTTTTTTTAATTTTTGATCCTGTAGGCTAACAAAATTATCATAAAAATAGATTTATGCAAATAATCAGATTAATTTATTATATATTTTAGTAATTGGACAAAACAAGAGTGCATATCTTATAATTGAGTTTTGGTTTAAGCTTGATGCGTTTCAAGCTTAAAATACCAGCTGACATGGGTGTAAGTTACGGTCCAAGAATTAAAAGATCAGAATTACACAGATCATCACTTTGAGTCTGGCGGAGCCTTGGTGGAGGTTCTTCCCCTCCCTGTGATTTCTGTGAATAAGTGTGACCGTCAAAGGTTTCAGTCTGACTCATCAGACCTCTCAGTGTTTCAACAACAATCACATTGGTAAATAATGACCAAGATGGAAACAGGGTTAAAAGAAGTGACCAATCAGACGGTCAGAGAGCCCTGCTCATACTGTAGAGCCGTTGAATAAAGCCTCACCTCCTGCCAAAAAAAAACCAGCTGAGGTGAAGTCATGTGACACGTTTCTTAAACATACAGTAATCTGAATTTCAAATGTCTTCAAACTAAATAGTCAAACGCACCTCAAACACAAACACACACACACACAGAAGGAACCAGCAAAGAGTGGAAGTGTTAGTGCAGGAATTAAATAAACTCAACACCCGTCCGCCCCCATGGATGCTGTGACAGAACAGCCTATCCATGCTGAACTCACTACAATGGACCTTCTCTTAAAGGAGCGAGGTTTGGACCAGTCCAAATTCTGTCAGACACGGGGGAGAGAGGAAAGCAGGGGTGGAACTGTGTTAGTGCAGCACAACAGTCTAATCCTGTGGTTGTGGAGGACAAATAAGTGTCAGTTTGTCAAAACGATCCTGAACCAGGAGTACGTGTCAGGATCATTTCTTCAATCGGCAACATAACCATGTGATGTCTGGGACATTTGAGCTTAGTTTCATTAGTAAGTTGACTGACAGCTCATGTCACACAGGATCTTGTCACTGAATACAGTTGATCCTCTGTGTTCTTCAAGATAAAAAAACAGAAAGAAAAACAGCCTGCGGTGATGAATATAATGAAGGTTACACTGAGGAACAGTGACATCTGCAGGAACACTCAACCCGGCCATAAATTGTATCTTGTTTCCCCTGTAATTTCACCTCCAGTCGAGGTTGATGACAAACCTGTGACTGTCTGAGTGACACTAGAGTGAGAACATGATTCATATCCACTTTACTGCCAAATAGCACACTTTGGTGACTCAGTGACAAGAACAACACAAAGTTCTCAGAACCATTATTAGTGAGGCAAAGGTGTACGAAGGGCACGGCTCTGTAAGTACCTCTGTTTTGACGTCACAGTTCGATATATCTTTGTGTCTCAAAATACACTTGCTAGGTCAAGCTAAGGTTTTGTCTGGGCCACACGTTGCCTGTGGGCCACTATTTGAATAGTGAATTTTTCATTTTTTTCATCTCAACGTTGAGCTGTTAACAATCATTTTTGCGTTAAGTCAATTCAACCTCTCCATGACTCACCAATGTTCTTCTGCAAACAAAGACTCTCCAACACTTTCAGACATTTTTTAAACAGTATCTTGTCACCAGTACCTCAAACTGTGGCCAGTTCATCGGCATGCCAGGGCCATGACTGGATCGGAACCATTTCAAGTCCTCTTCAGCATCAGTGGCTGAGATCGTGTCTTCCATCGTGTGATAGATTGTCTGGAACCTAAGATGACAAGGACAGGAAAATAAATACGATGCTTCTCATTATTAGTTCAATCTCTAGTACATTTTTCTTTGTCCAAGGCTGAACCTGTGATTGGATGACAGGTCCAGGTGCTGCTTGACCTCGAGCAGAACTTCTCTGAAAAACCGAATGCGTGTGTCCTCAAACTGCTGCCACTGCTCAAACACCTGTTCCATGTTCTCCATGTACTGTGGCGTCAGCTTGTCCAGCTCTTCCAGGGATTTCTCGTAGCGTTCTTTGGTCTAAAACGTGGACAAATACCCAGAAATGTACTCACATGGAGTTCAGAAAATTGGGATATTACAGCTGCACTT